GGGGTGGGAGGGGGCAGAGGGTGGCAGGGGTGAGGGGGCAGCAGGGGTGAGACGGGGCAGGGGCGTGAGCAGGTGAGGCTATAGGGGACGAGGTGTGCACCAAGCCGGGTGTGCCCCTCCCAACACCAGAAGTTCACCACGAGCAAGGAAGAAATAAAACAAGCCCTTCCAGATGAAACGCGAGATGCCGGAAGTGCACGCTGCTCCCACAGCTTGGCGCCAGGGGCCTCGCGGAGCTGAGAATGGGCCGGCCTGGGGACAGCCAAGTGATTGCCACACCTCCCGAGGGTCAGCGGTCAGCCTGGTGTCAGCTGACTCCAGGAGCCAGGTGCCAGAAGCTGTCCTGCAGGCCACTGCCGCCAACCATTCAGCCTGCTGGCGGGCGGGGGCAGCACGTAGCTCCCTAGGAATTTCTGGAACCCTGACCTGCCTGACCAGCTTCTGTGCTGGACAGCCTTGGTTCCACCCTCAGTGACTTAGAATTCATTCCACTGCCTGCTGTGGTGTACCCAAAATAACTTCTCATGGAATGAGTGTCCACGGATGCTCTCCAGCGGCAGGTGCAGCGGATACTGTGGTACCAGGGACTCTGCCTCCCGCACAGGAGACCTGGCTCGCTCCTGGGCTCCACTCTCAACTCCAGCTTCCTGCTAAGGCAGCGCGAAAGGGCTCAAGCACTTGACTCCCTGCCTCCCATGCGGAGAACGGAACTGAGTTCTAGGCTCTCATCCCAGTCCAGCCCTGGCTGTCATGAGCATCCAGAATGAGGATCAGCCAACGGAAATCTCTTTCAGCAGGAAGCTGGATCAGAATCCTGGATCAGCCAGGATTTCAACTGGGCACTCGAACATGTGATGCCGGCACCATTAGCAGGGGTCTAATCCCCTGCACCACAATGTCCACCTCAGGGCTAGCAACTTCCTCCAAGGCACATGGCCAGAAGCCTAGGCCAGCCCTGGACACCACCCAGGGCACTGCACAGTCTTACTGAACACCCGGGCCTCGTGACAACCTGGTGACATCCGGGGCCAGGGAAGCACCCTGGAGTTACCTGCCTTCCAGGGACCACCCCCAGCTTGGATAGAACTGGTGGCCAGGAGTTATGGGAGACCCCAAGGAGCCAGCAGGGGCGTAGGGGCATAATGGGGGCAAATGCTCGCCTGTGGTTGAGCCCCACACCTGGGTCTCAAGGCCGACTCCCCACTCATCCTGGCTGCAGGGCTGACCCCACCCAGACTGACCACTGGAGCCCTGGAACCCTGAGGTCCGTCTCGTAGGGGTCCCAGAGGCGCTGTGGAGAGATCAGGAGGGAGGGGGCACGTGCGGGCCACGGCTGAGGCACAGCTGCCTCCGAGGCTGTCCACCTTCCCCGCCCTGCCTCACCTGTAACGGGGGACAGCACGAGGCGAGGGAGGCTAGGGCATGGTGACCACTGGTGGCCGCTGGGGACTGTGAGCCTGAGCACGGCCGGGGGAGGGACAGGGCCAGCTTGGGGTGGCTGCATCCCACACTGCACCTGTTGGATCTGAGTCCCAGCTCCCTGCTCACGTGCACCCTGGGGCTGCAGCAACGGCCCAAGCGCAGGAGACCAAGATGGAGTTGTGGGTCCTGGCCCGGTCCCCGCCGTTACAGGTCTCTGGGGCGTGCCCCAGCAGACAGAACACCTCCCTCCTTCTCTCTGTTTTTCAAATTAAAAAGGAGAAAGAAATCGTACCTCTGACTCGTGCGACAGCCCCTCTGCCCTCATGCGCCCCCATTTCTCTTGCGCCAACAGGAGCGACAAGGACACAGCAGAAACACTGATGTTGCAGGTTAAGCCTCTGCCTGCAGCGCCAGCACCCCATAGAGGGCAGTTCTTGCCCAGCTCCCTGCCAGTGCATCCCGGAAAGCAGCAGAGGATGGCCGCGTGCTTGGACTCCTGCACCCGCATGGGAGACCCGGAGAACGCCACCTCCCTGGCCCAGTTCCGGCCATTGTAACCATTTGGAAAGTGAATCCATAGATGGGAAATTCCTCTCCATAACTCGGCCTTCCAAGGCGATACATCTTCAAAAACACAGAATAACCTCTGGTCACACCGTCTCCAGGGAGACCCAGGTCGCCCTGCCCGGACAGAAGACATCTTCCAGCCACCTCCTGAGGGACACCCACAACCACCCAGGCCCAGAGCCTGTGTGTGAGGCAAGGGACGGGGGCCACAAGTTGCCCAACCACTGCCTCCTCCAGGAAGCCCACCTGATTGGTCACATGCACCTAGATTCTATCATACAGAGACCCTGCTCCAAACCCCCCAAGGGCAGGGACCTGCCCAGGCGGGTGTCCCATACCTCTCTGCACCCCCTAACGCATCTCACCTCTCCATTTCAGCACTCACCTTTCACCTGGACAAGCGACCCCTCTGAGGTTCAGCCAGAGGCGACACAGCTTGGAGGAACCCTAAAAGGTTTTGCTGCGACCCCAGGCAGCCCAGGTCAGGCCCCGCCCGGGCAGCAGCCGTCCAGCCAGTCAGGGCCAGGGACAAAAGCTCAGGAATGCTGCCCCTCCCGCCGGTGGCCTCAGGCTGGGAATTCCCCAGCCCTGCAGTGGCCGGTCCCCTGCTGGCCGCTTGGAGGGCTGCAGCTGGCTCCAGGCAAGTCTCTGGCCAGGTCCCCACGCCAGCACCTGCTGTGGCCTCAGCCGGCTCATCTGTGAATCCCGGGTTTGGCCACCTGCCGGACGGGAGGCCCCCTTGGCGGGGTGATAGGTTTGGGGTGACCCAGCCGGCGCCTCTATGCGCAGGACAAGGAGGACATGCAGGGCTGCAGGCAGGGTTTGGGCAAGACGAAAAAGTGAGGGCTGGGCTGGCGCACGGAGTGGGGAGGCCGTGGAGGCCTTACGCAGCGCCAAGCCCGCCCCCTGCCTCCCTAGGGGTCCCGGGGACCCCGAGCGTTCCCTTACCTGGCCACAGCACCCCGGCGCTGCACCTGCCCTCGCGCGCTGGGGCTCACCTGGCCCCGCCCCGGACGTGGCTCCCGCAGGCCCCGCCTCTCCCTCCCGGGTGGAGGACAGAGATGGCCAGGTTTGGGGGACAGTGAGGGCGAAAGCCCGGGTCCCCCGGCACTGTGCACCCCGCGCGCCTGGGCCAGTGCTGGACCGAGAGGGGACAGGAGCCAGGAGAGCCGTCCCAGGGCGGTGGCCGAGCCCTGCGACCCGGAGAGGCGCTGCTGCCGTCCTGCGCCCCAGGCCGGGGTGGGAGGGGGTCCAGTGGTCACCAATTTCCACCGGGAGAGCAGTCCCGAGGGCAGATTGGCCCGGTCCGCCCCCTCCCACCTCCCTGCTCTTCCTCTCCTATCCAGCTGCCCACCGCACACCCACGTGTGGACTCTTCTCCCTTGAGGCCCCACGCGTGCACGGTGGACACCTCACAGCAAGTCACCGCGGGCCCTGGCCTTTCCTCATGTCCTTACTACTTTGATTGAACTTATTTGCGAGACAGAAAAAGAGATGTGGAGGTCCCCCAGGTCCCCCGCAATAAGGGAGCCCTGACCCATCAACGCCCAGCAGTCCTCCAGGACCCAGTGCGTGGTGGAACAGCCGCCTGAGACAGCAGACTCACTCACTGGCCTGCCGGCCGCTGTGCTGCTCCCTGCGGCCCGCCCCCAGCGGATTGCCCTAAAAAATTATTTTAAAGTTTTATTTTATTTGGTTGACTAGCAGTTACTGAGAGGGGGAGTCTTCTGTCTGCTGTTTCATTCCCCCAAAATGATCACAATGACCAGGGTTGCGCCAGGCTGAAGCCAGGAGCCAGGAGCTCCTTCCAGGTGTCGCACGTGGGTGCAGGGTCCCCAGGACTCGGGCCGTACTCTACTGCTTTCCCAGGTGCCTCAGCAGGGAGCTGGGTGGGAAGTGGAGCAGACAGAAGCAGCGGGATGCCAGCGTCATGGGGGCGGCAGCTTGATTGCTACACTGAACGCCACGTGCCACTCCTTACTCCTGGCTGTGGTGGGGGTCCCTCCCTAGGGGGTACACCAAGCCCCTGACTCGAGCCACCAGGAGTTGGGAGCCTTACTCAGCTCACTCCCTCCAGCAGCACCTTGTAGTGCCTCCATTGCTTCTCTCTCTCCTCTGGCGAACGTGAAGTCTCCGCCACTGCCCACACAAGGTCCTCGTCACAGCTTGCACGCCCTCTGATTTCAAAAGCAAGCTGGACAGAGTAAAGGGAGTGGCTCTAGGTGCCCAGCGGCTGGCCGTGCAGCCCCTGGCATGGAGACACGCTGGGGGAGCAAGCACGCGTTCTGTACCATCTGCAGCCGGGCGCGGGGATCTGCAGTGCTCACCGCCAAGCAGCCACACCGCGTGCTGTGGGGTGGACACAGCAGACAGGACAGGCGGCGCCCCGCTGGCAGGAAGAGGAAGCAGCAAGGCCCTGCAGCCGGCGGCCTCTCCCCCTTTCACTTTCTCTCTTGCCCGTCCTTTCCTGCCCCGCCTGGCTCGGCAGCCGTCAGCTGCGCCCGCTTCCCCCCCGGCCATTCTCACTGTGCAAGAGACAGACTCCTCACACAAAGTGAAGGGATGGTGGCAGAGTGGTGCTATTCCAGCTTCATTAAATTTGCCCCCACTGATTTTTATGAACTCAGGCGATCCCCTCTCCCCCACCACAAAGCACGTTCCATACCACCAAGTCCTGGTCGGGTAGAAGTGCAGGAAAGGAAGCCGAACCCCTGGGCCTCCCCTGCACACGCCCACCCAATTATTGAAACTCACTTTAGGTTTTCTAAAAATTTATTCATTTGAAAGCTACTATGAGAGAGGACAGACACGTCGTCCATCCACTGGTTCACTCTCAGGGCAGCTGGAGCTGGCTGGGCTGAATCCAGGAGCCCGAGGTCTCTTTGGTCTCCCACGTGGGCACTGGTACTGGCACCATCCTCTGTTGCTTCCCCGGGCACACTGGAGCCTGGCCACCAGCAAGATGTAGGGAGAGGGAGTCCCCCAGGGTCTCCCCCGGCACAGATGCTCACCTTCGTGGAGCCCCATGTCTTCTCTACACAGAACCTCCTGGCCAGCGTGGGAGGTTGGAGAGCAGGCCTTCTGAGCCCAGAAGGAAAGGGGCAGGGGCTGTGAGGACAAAGCCCTGGTGCCCACTGGAGCCCTGCTGGGCGAGGCTCTTCTGCACAGAACTCCCGGCACCACCCCTGAACCCCATGGTTCTAGGCCACGATTCCTGAGCTGCCCAGGGTCTGGGGTCCCCTGCTCCCCTCCAGCAGGGCCTCTCCAAGGGATGCAGTCTTGGGGTACACCATGGCTGAAGCCCTTCTTCCCGCTCTGTGCTGCTTTGCTTTGCGGTAAAATGCGCATGGAGACCTGGGCTGTGGGACAGCTCACCACGGTGTCACTGCCTGCAGGCTCTCCGCTTGGCAGACCCAAAGTCGCCTGTGCTCACCACCCTGGCAGGTGCCTCCCACCACTGCCAGAGGGCACACAGGGCCCCCGAGGGTGGCACCATCAGATGGAGCAGGAGCGCAGATGTGGGAGCACAGGTGTGTGTACACACGTGACAACAGACTGGCGAGCTCAGACCCTGCCAAGTGGCCCTTGACACTGGGGACAGGACCTAGGAGCTGGATTTGGGTCTTTAAGCGCATCTGACAGGCAGAGGAGAGAAATTGGCCTCGGTTCAGCGGAGGCAGGCCCGGTGGCTTCCCCAGCCCTGACCTGTCCCTTTGGCCAGTGGCCGGCTGCTCAGCGTGGCTCCTGCTGCAGCACCCGTGGGCCAGCGCCTCGCTCCACAGAAAGGAGCCTATGGGAGGATCTCTGCTGGTCCCTGTGCGGCTGCACCTGCTGCGAGGATGCCCTCTGCATCCTGGGGCCCTGCGAGGCTCAGCATGGACACAGCCAGGTCTCCCCACAGATGGAATCCAGGACCCTCGACTTTGCCCAGTAGACAGGTAGGTCCATGAGCCTAGGGGAGACCAGCAGGCTCCCTGCATCCCCAGCTGGCACGGCCCAATCACACAAGCCCAAGCCCGAGTGCCCTGGATGGGCCTCGCTGGCAGTGTGCTGCCCTGTGCACACACACCTGGCATGGGAGCCGCTGGTCCACACAGGTTTGTTTGAGTAGTAGCCCAACAGTTACTGCCTGCAGGTTCATTCCCCAGATGTCCAGCTCGGTGTCCTGCGTGGCCATTGCCTACTGCATCCCAGGCTGGACAAGGAGCGGAGCAGTTGGGCTCCCCGACACAGGTGTCCCTAGGGGAGCTTAATCTGCCGAGTCCAGCGCTTCCCCCAAAATGACTTTTTGAACAAATCCTCAGCCCCCAGGTCTTCCTGAGGCCGGACAGTGTCTCTTCCCACCCCCTCCACCAGCACAGGGGCAGGGCAGGCCCTGGCTTCCAGGTGCTCCTGCAGGCTGTGCCCATGACACTGGGCAACTGCTTCACTCTGGACCACCCCTGCCCCCGGTGACACAGCAGCACCCCTCGGACTGGGAGGGCAGGGCCAGGGGCTCTGTGTGTGAGAAGCTGGGGGAACGTTTAGGAGTGCCTCCGATACTGGAGCAAGCACAGACCTTCTCCGAACCCAAGTCCTGGGGTGCTGATAGCTCTCCCATCAACCAGCCAATCACACACATCCCACAAACCTCAGGTGCTCTGTGCTGCCTGGGGCCAAGCAAGCTAGGAGACGGGGCCTCCCCCACCCCAAGATGGGCTGCCTGGCCCAGATGTGTCCCACCCAGCTGCTGCCTGCAGGGGTTACACTGACCACACATTCAAGAGCAGCACAGAAGTTGGCCAGCTGGTCAATCCCGCCCAGCACAGGACTCAGACAACCCCAGGGGTCTGTCCCTACTCACGTCAGGGGCAGAATTGGGGCTGGATCCTTTACATGCCCACCCCGTTCCCATGGTCTGATCCCCAGCAATCCTTGTGGCCTCCCATTAAGAGAGGACAGAGCCTCTGGGGCAAGCCGCAAGTGCAGGCCAGGACCACGGCTGCCGGCTGCCCCTGTAGGAGCTGGAGGAAGACCTCATTGGGTGCAGCCTCCCTCTGGGTCAGGCACCCCGGGGACACAAGTGTCCAAGGAGCTGACCGGCCACCCCCTGGGCAGAGCGGGGAAGGCACAGCGTGCTTCCAATGTGGACTTGGGAATGCCTGGTGACCAGGCAGTCACCCTGGGCTAGGAAGGACAGAACAGAGTAAAAAAAAAAAAAAAGTCTTGCACACCCACCACACAAAGGCACACACACATTACACACATACAAGACTGGCCAGCCTCAAACGACACTCTGTCGGCCCCCAGACCCCTCTAAGTTGGACTCGCCAGAGCCCCCACCCCGGCCAAAGTCGATGAAGATGCCTTCAGAATCAGAGTCCGTAGATCCCAGCATCTGGTCCACCAGGGTCTCGGGGCTGGAGGTGGGCAGCGAGCCGTGGGCTGGACCGGGCTCTGGGGACCGGGAAGCGGGGCGCAGTCTGCTGTGGCAAGGCCCCGAGAGGGGTGCGGGGGAGGACAGGAAGGTCCCGGCGGCGGCTGCGCCCTGGGCAGGTGAGGCGGGGCGGCCCTGGGGCTCGGGGCAGGAGGTCATGGCGGACACCGAGTGCCGGCGGAGGCTGGTGCTGCCCGCTGCCGTGCCCTCCGCCTCGTGCTCGGCCACGGGGTTCAGCAGCGGCATGTTGTAGCTCTTGGAGCGCACCACCGGGTTCTTGGCCAGGATGTCGCCAGAACGAGAGCGACGTAGCAGCCGCTTGTCTGTGGGGGACACACAGAGACGCCGTGAGCCTTGGGCTCCTGCACCCCCGTACGTCCCAGGCGTCGGGGCAAGCGCAGCTACAAGGAGAGGCCCTGCTGAGGCAGACTCTGCTGGGCTGGATGGGTCCTGGGCCACCTCCTCCCCTTCAGCTGGGCGCTGGGTTAAGTGCCACAAACCTCCCCGTGCTTCGATCCTTAGACTCAGGGTCCACAGGGGTGCTCCTGGCAGGGGGCACTTGGAGGTACAACCGCTTGGGTGGGCCTTGGGCTGGGCAGCCCTGGCTGGGCAGGTGTCACGGGCTGACAGTGGCCAGAGCCCGGCTACCAGGAAGCAGGCCCGAGCACGGTGAGCAGCCCGGGCAGCATCTGTCCTGAACCCAAGAGCCACAGGCTCCTTCCTCCTGGCAGGGGCTGGGGTCCTGCTGCCCAAGGCCTCAGGGAGTGGGGTACGGAGCTATGCTCCGGATCCCTACAGTGAGACACCCCTGATGGTGGGGGTCATGTCAGCAAGTGGGCACGGGATGCCTGACCATGGTGGGGGCGCACACCCCCGTGTGGCCCTCATCCACTGTGCAGACGGAACATCACACGCTGCCACTACTGGGCAACAGGACCCCGATCCCCACAGATCGCCCCCCACCCCGGCCCGGGGCCCAGGCAGGCGGCTCCTCCTACCCAGGATGCAGGCATGGGTGCAGGGTCCCTCATTGGAATAGAGTCCGTAGGTGCCCAGGAAGGGTGACACCACCTTCGGGATGAGCGTCTCCAGCCGCAGATAGCCCTCGGTCACGCCCCTGGACTCATGGACACTCTGCAGGACAGTGAGGGCCGGGTCAGGCCTGTCCCCTGGCTGGCCCTGGTTCTTGCCCGCCTGGGAGACCCTTGACACTGCACACTCAGGGAGGCGCAGGCTGGCCCCAGAGGTGCAGGACAACCTTGCCCAGGGAGGGCTGTGGGCCCCTGGGGGTGACACGGACTGGAAGGGCCACTCCACGAGACCAGGCACCTCTAAGCTGTCCATCGAGGCTGTGTGTGAGCAGGTCCCATCCACAGCCACACGCCCCAGCTGGGCTCCCGGCCCTGTCGCCCTGCCATGGGTAGGTGTGGTGGCGGCAGGGCAGACACGTGGGGTCAGAGGGCAGGGGCCTGAGCAGTTAGCCCAGGGAGCAGCAGCTGCCAGGGCACAGTCACCACCAGAGGGCAGCACTGTTCAGGCATAGCCAACCTACCGGGAACCCGAGCCTCCGACTGTCCCCTGTTCTCAGCCCTGGATGGCCAGGCATGAGGCCCTGCTGGGTCACCACAACACCAGAGCCCCTGAGGGTGAGACAGACCCCGAGGGTCAGGGGTTCCAGCTGGGCAGTGGCCCTGCTCATGAGCCCCCACTCTAACTACCCAGGATTCCCGTGTGTCCTGGAGCATCTGGAACAGAGAGCAGAGCCTGGCAGCCATGACTCTGGGGGTGAGCCAGGCCCTGTTCTGGTGGGCTGCAGGCAGGCAAAGCAAGGCTTCTCCACCTGTCCCAGTGGGAGGCTGGGGGTGCTGCACGAACCCACTCAGTGACCAGAACTCACTCACGAGGGACGGACAGGTCAGTGGCTGCGGAGGGAATCACTGGGGCTGTGCGTGTCTGGGGCAGTGCCTTGGCTCAGCGGCTGGGACTGGCTGCTACAGGCCTCAGGTGACGGAGTGTGTGTGTGTGTGTGTGTGTGTGTGTGTGTGTGTTTGTGGGTCTCAGGTGACAGGCGTGTGGGTGGGGGGCTGGCCCAAGGCCCACCCAGCCTCCCTACCCGCACCGCACCTGAAGTACCAGCAGCATTTGCACCACGGCAGGTGGCACGCGGGCATGGGCGCGGGCCAACGCGTCCTCCAGCTTCACGCTGAGGGCTATGGTGTCGCGGAAGTGCAGCAGGGCCAGCTGGCGCACGGACGGCTCCTTGCCCTGCAACACACAAGAGAGGACTCACTGACCCTCGGGCCCGCCTGCCCCGCCGCGTCCTGGGCCTCCACAGACCCCAGGGACCAGCTTGTAGGTGTGGGGACAGGGGCTGTGGCTCTGTGGGTCAGGGTGGGCGTGGCATGGGCGTGCCCTGGCTGTCGCCACCCCAGCTCCCATCCCGGCGCACCTGCACGGGGTAGAAGATGGCCTGCAGAGTGGGCAGCACGTCGCTGAAGAAGAAGTCCCAGGTCTCCGCAAGCGAGTCCAGCAGCTTCTGTCCTGCGGGCACAGCGGCCGTGAGCACCTGCTGCCCGGCTCAGGCCGGGCCCTGGGCATGCCGCCTGAGGCTGGACGCACCTCCGCCACCTGTTAGCTCCTGGCCACGGGGTGCAGAACTTCTCCTCGCCTCAGCCTCCCCAGTGGTCAAACGGGGGTGAGCGGGCCGGCTGCCCGCTGAGGCTGGGCCCCGAGATAAAAGCCAGCTGCAGCTCTCCCTTTGTCTCACACCAGACCCACTCGGGACTCAGCCCCCATCCCGTCTCCGCCTGTTCCCCACTCACCCACCTGCACATCTCCCTTCCAGCTGTCTATGCTCCATTCACGGAGGAAGCACCCACTGTTCCCAGACCGGCTGAGCCCCGCACAGCCGCAAGCAGGAGGCAGAGTCCACACTGCCCCAGGCTGCCTGTGGGGAGGTCTCGGGGGAATGGGACTAGGTCCTCACTTCTCCCGGCTGCAGCGTATGCCCAAGGCAGGTCAGGGCAGGAGCGTGAGCAGGAAAGGCTTCCAGGAGGAGGTGCTACCCAAGCTAGATACAGGGCTTTCCAGGGGATGGCATGGGAGGCCACTCAGCCACTGCACCTTTAAAGCAGTGCTGGAGAAGGGAAGCCCTGTGGACATCTGCTAGGCAACGGCCCCAGGGATGAGGCAAGCGGGGTGGTCTTAGCTGGCTCTCGGGCTGTCCAGGGCAGGGACAGGAAGGCTAGGGGGACGTGACACGCAAAGCCCGGGGCCCGTGTGCCTGGACAGGGTGCAGGTGGGATGAGCTGCTACTGGATCCAGGGCACAGGCTGCTCTGGGGTCTCCATGGGAACATGGGGGCAGCCAGGGCCCAGATTCTCCCTTCCTTCCCTCCCTGAGCCTCGTCTCCCCGTGGGCAGGCGGTTGGGGGTTGGGCTCCCTTTGGGTGTGTGGCCGGCAGTGGCTCCAGCCTGCCTGGGTGGCCCACACCTGGCCCCGAGGCACTGCCCACACGACACAAAGTAGCTTCAGTTCTAGGGCCGTGGGGGAAGAAGAGAGGCAGGCTGGCCCGCCAGGGAGGAGCAGCTCTGGGCCAGGGAGGAGCGGCTCTGGGCCAGGGAGGAGCGGCTCTGGGCCAGGGAGGAGCCGCTCTGGGCGCCTGCCAGCGGCCAGCCCACCAGGCAGAAACCCTGTGGGAAGCAGATGCTGTCACACAGGGAATCCGGGCCCCAGCCGGAGCCGCAGGTCGACCACGGCCACCACCACGGCCAGGCTCTCGCTGGGGTGTCTGCAGGGCCACGGGGGGTCACAGCCAACATACACCCAGGGAGGCACCTTCCGAAGCCAAGCTCTGTGCACCACGGCAGTGGCCATCGGGGGTGTGTCCTTGTCACCCCACACGTCTGAGGACGCCTCGGCCAACTGTGCAGGCCCCTCGACAGGAACACGGCAGGCTGGCTGGGCTCAAGGCCCCCACCCACACGGAGGGGCAGGCAATGGGCACAGGGCAGAGGTCAAGGCCATGCACAGGTACTCCAGAAGGACTCAGGCTGCCCAGGGCGGAGGGTGGATGGGAGGAGGAGATGGCCGCCACTCGGAAGCCAGCAGCTCCACCGGCCTCCCCAGGTCCAGGGACGGCCCTGCCTGCAGGCTTGCTGCATGCTGGAAAGAGGGGCCACCCCTGCCCCATCTAGCAGTCCGATGCGGTGGGGAGCCCTTGCTGTGACACAGTGGGCATGTGGGGACAATCCACTCTGAGTCCCCCACCTCCAAGCAGTCCTTCCTGACCACCCAGGTGGAGTCCCCAGCAGGGCAGGGCTGGAGGCTGCCTCACTCCCAGGCCCCTGGAGGCCACCCAGGGCATGGCGTTGCAGGGAGCAGGAGCGATGGTGGGCCATCCGGTCCCATGGTGCCGAGGCAGCCGCAGCGGGCGGCTTGCCTGGGAGCCCGGGCCTGTCCCCAGAACGAGGCTGAGCCTGGAGGTGGGGCCTCCTGGCTGCACAAAGCTGCCCTTCTCCAGGACATGGCGCCCCTGGGCTGCACGGTGGGCGGCCCAGGCAGCTTGGGAATGTGCGGAGTCAGGAACAGGCGGAGGGCGTCCTCAGGTGCCCATGGGAAAATGTCCTAGGCCCTGGTCTCCCGTGCTACCCTGTCCTTCTCCAGTCCCTGCCTGGGCTACACCAAGCTCCAAGTTCACCCAGGCCTTGGGTCTGTCATCTGAGAAATGGGCTAACAACCTCTGCTGCTCGGGTGGGAGTTGGCGATCAGCTCTGCACTCCGGCTGTGCCGTGGCAGGAGTGGCAGAGGCTCCGGGACTTTAAACTGGGGTGCCAACATGTTGGAAGCCATCACACACTCCCAGAGGCGAGTGCAGAGTGGGCCCGCAGCAGCGGCCTGGCACTCAGGAGGCGCTAAGCAAGCACTCCTGGGGCCTGACCCCAGCGTGCCACGCAGGGCAAGGCCCGGCAGGGACCAAGCTCGGTGCCAGCACTTACCCTCGTAGAAGCGGATCTTGTCTCGGAGAATTACCATGCCCTTGGTCAGCAGCTGGTTCTGCAAACAGAGGCACTGTCAGCAGCCCGTGTACCCTGCCCCTCTGCAGAGCTGTGGCCTCGGTCGCCCTCCATGGCAATCATGACAGCTTCCCCCGGGGACAGTCACAGCAGGACCCACAGGCCTGGCCCTGTGCCACACCCTGGGCACGGTGGGCTCTCACCCTGAGCCTGTGCCAGGTGCCCCTACAGGGGTCGGGATGTGGTCTGGTCAGAAGACCCTGGTGGAGTCCGGCTCAGCAAAGGAGGTGGCTGCCAGGACTGGGTGATACAGCTGGACACACTGCAGCCAGGGCGGGCTGGCCACTCACCTGCAGGTACTCCGTGAAGAAGGGTCCCAGCTCTGTCTTCAGCAGCTGCCTGTGGGCGGGAGACAGAAGCGTGAGGACCTGACCTGGCAGCAAGGAGGCCCCGGGGCTGCCAGCCCTGTGCAGGGTGGACCAAGCCCCACCCGTCTGCCCGCGTGCCCTGCCCAGCAGGGGCCATGTGAGCAGAGAGCTCTGGGCCCCCATGGTCTGCAGCTGAGGGCTCTGTGAGTGAACACCAGTGCCCCCACTCTCAAGGTTCAGGCCCCTTGTTTCCCAGACTGCTGGGACCTTGTGGGCTGGCGAGGGGCTCAGAAAGGTCAAGGGACCAGCCCAAGGCCACCCAGCATGTGCCAGAGGTGGCTTCCGACTGCTCGTCCTTGCACTCGGAGCCCAGGACTCTGGCCACTGCGCGACTCCAGGGGCGGAAAACGCTGAGCCCCGGGTCCCGTGGGTGCTGTGGGCACGGCCCCGCCCGCCCCGCCAGCTGCTTCCACGCTCCGAGGCGCACAGCACTGAAATCGGCCCACGTCACCACACAGGTGCAGGAGGGCCAGCGTCTGATTGCAGCATGCCTTTCAACACTAGTCTGTGATTGGTCCCTGCGTGTGTCAGTCCACACACAGACAGCAAAGCCTGCAGCTGGGCTGCCCTCCACTCATCACGTGCAGTGGGGAGAGAGCTCACTGCCGGCTCGCTTCTCCAGAGCTAACACCTGCTAGAATACCAGTTCAGGGCTGGGAGTCAGCCACCTGAGCTGTCAGGAAGCTGCAGTCAGGGTCAGGGCTGGGATCTGACCGCTGGTACCCCGAAGTGGCACACAGGTGCCTGAAGGGCTAGGCTACCTGTCCGTCTCCCGAGAGATGCATCTTTATTTATTTGGAAACAAGATTGACTCTATGCACTGGGCTGACTCCTGCAACGCTTGCAGCAGCTGCGGCTGGGCCAGGCTGAGGTCAGGAACCAGGAACTCCGTCCTGGTCTTCTAAGGGGCTCAAGCACTTGGGCCAATGCCTGCTGCTTCCTGGGTACCACTGGCAGGGAGCTGCATCAGAAGTGGCCAGGGGTTGGAGTGGCACGTGGGTCCCACCACAGCACCCAGCTTCTTTTTATTTACTTGAAGGGCAGAGAAAGAGAGAGAGAGAGAGAGAGAGAGGCAGACCTGTTGGTTCACTCCTCAAAGACCTGCAGGTAAGAGACTGGGCAGGGGGCGGGGCTTCAGTGTGACCCCGCCCCACTCGCATTCCCCATCTGATAACCACAGGAGGACAGCCCTGGGGGAAGGTCTGTAGTGGACAGACAGGAGAGACAGGGACAAGGCTGGACAGAAAACGGACCGCGACAGCCACGGTGTGGCGCCAAGTGGTCTCGTGACCTCTCTGAGCCCTGACCCCCTGGCTGCAGGAAGGGAGACAGGCCTAGCTTCAGTTACTGCCCCGGGTGTCCCTTGCGACAGGCTGAGGGTGTCAGCTGCAGCCACTGCCCCAGGCCCCCAGGCCCAAGAGGAGCAGAGCTCACAGAGCTGGAGGCCACGGAGTCCTGACTGCCTCCAGAGGTGGCCTCTTGCGGCTGGGGTACGGGGCCTGGCTCCCCCACCCCCATGGCTGAGCACGGCCCCCCGCATCACGGCCCCTGGGCGGGCACTCACCGGACACCCTCGTTGAGGCTGAAGAGCTCATGGTCTGGCAGCCCCTTGCGCTGGAAGACGGCGATCACCCCGTTGTGGATGCTGCAGAGAGGGTCGGGGAGCGGTGGGTGGGGAGGGAGCCCTGAGCGGAGGCCCAAGACCCCTCCCTGGCCACCTCCCAGGCCATCCCACACGTCCCCGCACCCACCTTGGCTCCAAGACCCCGGGGTGTGTATGTGTGTCAGGGGAACCCTTACAATCCACCGAGCATTCCAATAAAGCTTTATTTATAAAGACGAGTGAGCCAGAGCTGGCCCCTGGCCCCCAGCCTCATGGGGGACCTGTGGCAGCTGCAGGTCCCCGCACCTGCCCTCCTGGGCTGTGCCCACACTTCACCCACCCAGTCCCCTCAGCCCAGAGGCCACCGCGGCCATTACAGCACTTGTCAGCGTGTGGCCACAGGTCCATGTGTGACAAATAAATGAATAAGCTCAGGGGTGTGGGGCCCCACGGGGCCTAGTCTTATCTTGACCTGCCCCTGCCCCTTGCATTGCCCTGGTGACCCCTCCCCACCCCCATCCAGGCATCCTGACCTCTAACCCCAAAGAGATCTGGACACCCCACCCCCTCCGTACCCGCCCAGTCACTCTGCCCAAAGCCCAGGCCCTCCTACCCTGCCCGCTGGAGAAATCACCCTTACCCCAAGGACCTTGCCGGGGGACGCACCCTGATCCCGCAGGCCCCGACTGGGCCATACACCAGCCTCTGTTTATTTACCTGTCTATCCCAGCCACCTGGCCCAAGCCTCCTGGGTGAGGGCAGGAACTGGGGTTCCCTGGCTGCTCCTCTAACCAGCGGACCCTTGGGAAGCCAACCAAGACAGCTGCCCCCTGCACTGCCACCCACCCCTCCCAGGCCCCTCTGCTACTCTCACTAACCCCCTCCCCGGTGCTTAGCTGCCTGTTCTGCAGAAGTGGACGGGGAGGCCCAGAGGAGCCAAACTCCCCTCCAGAGGCCGGAACACGCAGCCAGGACTCTCAAGACCCCTGGGCGGCTGCCCCGGCAAGCTGAGTCCCCAAGTGCAACCAGGCATGGAAGGGCAGGGCCAGGTGCAGGAAGCAGACGCCAGCCGTCACGTGGCAACCAGCAGCTGGACGCCCACTCCCAGCCCCGGGGGGCTGTGGGAGGGAGGACAGGGTGGGGGCCCTGCTGGGCCAGCCCCACCCAGCCGGGGCTGCTGGAGGAGCCTGAGGGGGGAGGGGGAGAGCGTGGCCCCCAGCACGCAGGGGACGGCCTGAGCCAGGGGGAAGAGGCCGGACTGCCTCCTCTCCCATTACACCTCTGGGGGAGGGTGACCAGATACGGTCCCCCCCGCCGTTACACCTCCAGGGAGGGGGCATTGACCAGACACAGTCCCCCTCCCACTCTGGTCACGTGTGCTCTGTCCACTGCAAGGAACCTGCTGGCTGTGCTGCAAGGCCTGCGTCCTTGGCCTGGGGAGTCTCCCACCCCATCTCAGGCCTCGCCCTGGCCATCCCCCAGAAAGATATCCTGCCCAGCCCCCCAGGTGGCCTCTTCCTCCAGCACAGGAGGGGGTCCGTGGTGCAGGCAGCACCCCCTACCCTGGGCGCCCAGCCAGGCTCCCTGAGACGGGACACAGGAGCAGCACTGGCCCCCAGGGAGCGGCGTGCAGCCCCAGGGCGGGCCATTCCGCATGGGATCTCCCTGACCCCTCCAAACCGCCCATGTGCAGCGGGACAGTAGCCACAGGGGACAGCCGACAACACACACAGAGTGACACCCAGCCCCTAACACACCCCACCTACAGGACAGTCTTCCCAAGTCACAAACACCTGTTGCTGTGCCCCACTGGGCCAGAAGAAAGGACAGGCCAGCAGCGGGAGGCCACGTGGGCTCGTCCCCTCCCCAGACGGAAGCGAAACCCAGCTAGCAGTCCTGGCAGGCCAGAGGCCATGCGGGTGTCCCCAGAAGCCACTCTGCAGGAGGCCCAAGGGGAAGTGGCTGTGGCTAGCCCTGCCAGCACAGGGGCTGCCCCGGGAGGCAGACTGGACACGGGCAAGGGCAGGCCTGTGACCTGGATGGCATCCCCAGAGGTGCTGGCAACACTGGGGGCTGCCCAGTGAGAAGGGCACAGCCCAGGACTAAGGCTGGGGAGGGAGGAGCTGACCGCGGGCCCACCTGCCAGCACAGAACAGCGCAGTGCACCGGCTGGGACCCCATCCTTGCCCAGCCCCCGTCCCACAGTGACTTCCACAGGACTCAGCAGGCATGCAGAGCAGGCGGGGGACCCCTCCTCACTGTGGCTTTCCAAGGGGTTGACCCAGACCCCCACACTGGGCAGGCTCATCTCAGGGCCTAAGGCTGCCCCAGCTTGGTGTGTGCCCACCTGGGTAAGAAACCAACCTCTACTGCTTCCTCTTGGCCCTGTCCCTCAAAGGTACCCAGAGCCCCAAGTCTTCACCTGTGCTCAGGTGGGGAGTGGGGTACACAGTGTCTGGGGGCTGTACTTCACAACAGGTGCGAAACACAGGGACTGGGAACCACTCCTCCCCACCCCTGCCTTGCCACTGTGCAAGGCATCTAGAAAGGGGTGGTGGTGGGCCCAGCACAGTAGCCTACTGGCAAAAGTCCTCGCCTCGCACGCCCGGGATCCCATATGGGTGCTGGTTCATATCCTGGCTGCTCCACTTCCCATCCAGCTCCCTGCCTGTGGCCTGGGAAAGCAGTGGAGGACAGCCCAAAGCCTTGGGACCCTGCACCCACATGGGAGACCCAGAAGAGGCTCCTGGCTCCTGATTGGCTCAGCTCTATTGTGGCTACTGGGGGAGTGAATCAACAGATGGAAGATCTTTCTCTCCGTCTCTCCTTCACTCTGTAAATCTGACTTTCCAATAAAAATAAATAAACCTTTAAAAAAAGAGAGAGAGAGAGAGAAATAGGAGGTGGTGAGGATGGTGCCGTGGCACAGCAGGTTAAGCTCCATAGCCACTGCAGGTCTGCTCCCGGCTGCTCCACTTCCGACCCAGTTCCCTGCTAATGCTCCTGGGGGTCAGGCCACAGCCCACCCTGTGGGACCAGGCCCAGCCCTGGCCCTTGCCAGCATCCGGTGAGTGGACCAGCCAAAGTTCTCTCTGGTGCTCCACCTTGTCAATTAGCTGATCTTGGGGAAAAAAAAAAGAAAGAAAATGGGGGCTGGGGGTGGTGGAGACACCAGCTGCACGCCTGTGGGGGGCGGGGAGCCTGCCCAGCAGGCGCCCTCACATCTGATTCCCACCCTGGGTGGCAGAGCAGCACAGAAACCCCTGCCCTCCACCCCAGCCGTGGGAAGGCCAGCAGGGGTCTGGGCTGTTCTTCAGGGACGCACCAGCCCGGAGAGGCACCTGAACCCGCTCCGCAGAGGGGCATGGGGGTGCCAGTGTCCCTTCCTGAGACACGACTCCAGCCTCATCCTCCCAGCTTGAGGTGGTTCTGGGAGGCTGAGGTCAGGGACAGGCCAAGGGAGGGGGTCCCACGGCTGCTCCCACAGACCCACAACCTGGAGCCGCCTCGGTCTGCCAGCTTCTGCATCAGGTGCAGGACGCCAGCCCCAGGAGGGTGCAGGGCACTGGGCCAGCCTCCGCTGTTTCCCAGGCACACAGCAGCAGGGAGCCGGATGGGAGATGCAGAGGAACCGGGACCCACTGCGGGACGCAGGACATGGGTGGCCCAGGCAGCGACTTTAACCACTGCACCTTTCTGAGCTGTCTGCCCCTGTGCACAATGCCGGGGGAGGGGTGATAACTGAACCCTACCTTGAGCACTATGGTGAGCACCCAAGTGACTCAGCCATACCCAGCACTCTCCCTGGGGATGGGTGTGTTTGGCATCCCGGGGAGGGGATGTACATTGCACTAGGAGGACTGGGCGGCCGGTGGAGTGGCACGGCCCCGGCCAGCTCCCGTGCAGGCCCCTCAAGCCACCAGCACCCACCTCACCCCGGCCCTGGGCCTCCTGTCTTACCCGGGCTCTGTGCCCATACGCTGACATCACCAGGGGATCTCGGCTCTGGCTTGGGTTTCCCTACAGGGGAGCCACTGAACCCAGATGGAAGGGTGGGACACGGGGTGGTCCCGAGGCTGAGCCGGGGATCCCCAGAGGGCCTGGACACCCCAACGCGTCTCCTGCAGTCTGCTCTGGGTCTTGGGTTTCTTCCGGGAGCTTTGCTGGGGTCCTTTGGGGAGGAAGGCAGGAGGGCAGGGAGGGGTGCAGCCCTGCCAGGGGCTGAGGCTGAGCCAGACCGAACCCAGGCTCGGGGAGCAGCAGTAACTGCTGGGGCCACCTCGACCGTCCTGCTTTGCATCTGCACCCACTGCTCACACTGACACCTGCCAGCACTGTACAGCGAGAGGCCGGGGCACGCAGGTGTGGTCAGCGAGCACTTGTCAGCCCCTTGTCTGTTCCCTGACTCCTTCCTGGTGACCCCAAAGCCAGAGGTTGAGGAAATGTGGGGCATAAGCCCGGCACCCCTGCAGCACCCTCCTGAGACCTCCGGCCTAGAGACAGACCTGGGCCCCAAACTCTGCCGCCTCCTGTGTAGTGGACTGCAATCCCCAGTGACCCTGGGCAGCTCTAAGGGACCGAGGGGTAACGTCCTCCACCTCACAGGGTCACAGCGGTGGCAAAGCCCACTCCAGAGCGCGTGGACACCTCACAGTGTGAGCCCCCTGCGTGGGGACCCCACCCTTGGGGCGTGGCCAGCACTCATCACTCGCTCCAGGACTTGCTCCAGGCCACCCATGCCGGGCTGGCATCAAGGCGATGCTGTATCTGGCATCTCCTCACCAGTGCGAACAAACCAGGCTCCATACGGGCACACCCTCCCAGCTCCCAGGCACACTGGCGACAGGACGGCAAACTGAGGCAGGGACCACGCCGAGCCTAGCGCGCAGAGGTCTGGGGGGCGAGGGGAGACGACCAGAACACACGTGGCAGGACCTCAGAGCCAGGACTGCGCGTGGGGGGTCGAGGGGCGGTACCCGCAAAGCCCCCAACCTCCACCCCGCGCCACGTTCCTCGCGGTGGAAGTAAGTTTTGGAGTAGGGCGCGTAAGGAGACACAGTAAGAATCCCACAAGTTAAACCCTCTCCCCCTCCCCCGCGCCCAGCAGACGGCGAGGGAGTGGGGGGCTCCCGCGCCCCGCAGGAATGGCCGGCAGCTGCCGCGCACACAGCGCGCGCCGACAGCTGGGAGGACAGGGGCCCGCGGCGGGGGAAGGCAGCCGCCCGCCCCCGGCCGCCGCGGGGACCTCGCCGGCAGACACAGGAAGCGAGCGCCGCGGCCCGGGACGCTCCGGGGGGCTCCTGTGCCCAACGGGAAAAGCTCTCACTTCCTGCCCTTCCCCGGGGAGAGGCGGGCCCCCCGCGCGGCAGCCCCCCGCTCGCCTCCCTCCTCGGGAAACCACGTTGCACCAACTTCACTCCCGGCCCACACAACTCCCGCGGAGCAAGTTCCAAGCCCGGCGCCTAAGTTCCGCGCTGGCCGCTCGGAGCGGCCCCCTGCCCCGGGGAGCGGCTCCCCAGGGCGCAAGGGGACCCCGGGGACCCGGGCGCGGCCTTACCTGTTCCAGGTGGCGTTGGCGCAGGCCCGGCGCTGCTGCGTGCCCCGCTCGTCCGCGGCGGCGGCCGGCTCTCTCTTGCCCAGCTCACTGAGGCTGGGCGAACTCATGAACTTCAACCTGCGGAGAGTCCTCATGGTGACCCCGGGGCGCCCACGCGCGCCACGCCGCACGCCGCCCCGGGCGCTGCGCCCTCTACGAGGAAACTTGGGCGAGAGCAGGAAGCCGAGCGGCCCCGCGGGGTCCCGCCCCGGACCCACGCCTCCGCCCGGGGCTGCGCGCCCGAAGCCCCGCACGGTTAATCATTGCTCCCGAGCGGGCCGCGCGCGCCCGGAACGCGCTCTGCACCCACCGACCCCGCGAGGCCGGGGGCTGGGCCTCCGGGAGGGCGGGGCTCCCGGCGGGGGCGGGCCCGGCTCAGGCCAGTCCCCTCTCGCATCCCAGGGCCGAGCGTGGCCGCCGGAAGCAGGGCTGCACGGGCCAGTGCCCCGCACGGGGTGCCCGGAGACCCCCCCATCCCTGAGCCCACCGCGGTCGCCACGGCCACTCCTTCCTCGCAAGTCTGCGTGGCTGGAACGGAGCGCGCCTTCCCAGCACGGCAGGACCCAGCCTGTCTCCCCAGGGGCGTTTGTTCCCCCATTCGCCCCACCGTCGTCGTGCCATCACGGCCTTTTGGACACAGCGGACACAGCCCCCAGGTCGGGGCGCCCTCCAGCAGACAGAGGCGAGGGCCAGGAGCCGGGAGCGCCTCATGCCGGAGTTGCTCTGTGCAAGTTCGCGTGCATTTCCTGGGCACCTGCTGCATACCGGCTGTGAGTCTAGCTCCTCCCCCACTCGCGGGGAGGCACAGCCAGGAGCAACCTCTGTCACCCCAGGCCAGGTGCCACCGGGGGTCCGTGCCAAGCTCAGGGCTGGGGACGGCGGGGCAGCGCCTGTGGGGCTTCAGGGCTGGCCTGGGAGGACCTGCTGCACTGACCAGGTGACCACAGTGGCAAATGGGGGGTTGCAGGGTGAGGGCACCTGGTGGTATGAGGGTACCAGGTATAGGGCCCCAACCTTGACACCCCCATCCTGAGGCACTGGGGGGCAGGCTGCCAGGCTGCCAGGGTTCCTGGGCAAGGACCAGCAGGGAGGGAGCCTTCCCATCACACGTGCTGGACATGCTGGGCGCTGGTTTCCTCCCCAGACGAGGGCGTCCTGCCTTATTGTTGAAAACATCTCCAGGGTTCCCGAGTTAGGATGATGAGAACTGGGTGTTGGCTGGGAAGCCAGCAGTTCCCCCCGGGGTGGGTGACTGGGGGGTCCATAGGGGGGAGGGCGGGGTCACAGCCCACAGCCTCAGGCCACCCTCCCTCAGCCCCTGGACCAGGTTGCATGGCCTCCGAGATCTCGCAGTGTGGTGAGGACAGGGGACACGGCCCTGGGCTGAGCCCCTCATGGTAGTGCTGAGCCTGTCTGCTCCCCCCACACGGACCCCTGACTGGGGAAGTGCAGCCCCCCCCCCCCAGCAGCCTGCTGGCTGCACCCAGAAGGAAATGGTATTCCACAGGGGCTCGGCCAGCAAGGCCTGAGTACATCAGAGGGCAAATGGAGGCGGATGGTGGGGCCAGGGCGGGGGTAGGGCTGGAGGGGCGCAGGGAGGCCCTGGAGGGGTAGCCCCGTCTCTGGGGCCTCAGGCCAGCTCCTGCCAGCAGCAAGCAGTCAGACGCGACCTCCCTTTGGCCTGAGCCATGGACTTACGGCATCCTCTCCACCCAGCAGCCTGGTGCCAGGAGAGAGGGAGGACTCGCAGGCAGAGGGGGCCCGCGACAGGGCTGGAGGGCTGGGGCAGCGGCCGGCCCCTTCCCGCCCCACCTCCTCCGCTCAGCAGGCCCAAGGCAGGGGCAGGGAGGCGCTAGCAGCTCCCAGCCAAGAGCCGCCAAAGCGTGAGAGGTGTGTGCCTGGAGCCAGGGGCTGCCCCTAGCCTCAGACGGCAGCCTCTGGGGCCAGCCCGCGTGCCGGTCTCTCCTGAGCAGCCACCCCACCAACAGCCCCCCTCTGCTGCTTCCTGGGTCTTGCAGACAAAATAAGAGGGTTTGGAGCACCGAGCGGTTGACCTGGGAACTGGGGGGACAGAGGTCCCCAAACCACCACGGTGTAACTCCCCCACGCCAGAGCCCTGGCCGCCTCCCTCTCCTGGGACCCAGAGTTCCTTGCAAACTCCCCAGGGGCCAGCGGCACGCAGGGTGCTAGGACCCTGATGTCCCCAGGGCCTGGAGGAGGAAGTCAGCCTGGGCCTGTCCTCACGCCAACCCCTGTCCCCCAGTGCCTGAGGATGGGGGGGTCAAGGTTGGGGCTCCCCCTAGAGCTGCCATGGAGGAGTCTGAGGGCAGATGAGACTCTGCCAAGCCTTTGGGGGCCACAGAGCTCCCGGGCCTGGGGACCACCAGAGGCGGGTGGGGGGCGCCCAGGAGAAAGGCAGGCAGAGGGGCGACCTGGTCCTCACAGTGGGGTAGGAGCTCCACTTTGCAGACGGACTCCAAGGCTCAGTGAGGCCCTAACACACACCCACTGACGTTAGCAGTCCGCAAGTGGTGCAGCTGAAAGCTAGCCCTCAGTCCTGCCCGCTCCGCGGGCACCAACCGCTCGGCAGGACGCTTCTGCCCCCTGGTGGCCAGGCTAAGTGCCTCCACACATCCTCCTGGGCAGGATGGCGGACCCTAAATCCAGGCGTCTCCCATGTGCTGAGGCCAGCAACCCGCAGGACGTGGAAAAGCCTTGGGGACACACCAGGTGCTGCCCCTCCACCCTGCACCTACCTGGCTTGTCCCGTCCTTGCCTTGGGTGCAAGGGGCAGAGATGGAGGACACTGCCCCGTGAGGCGTCGGGGGAGGTGGAAGGGGGCCATTTGGCAGTCAGGTGTGCTGGGGAGGGGTTGTGCTCCTGGGGCTGCGCTCCTGGGGCTGCTGGTGCAGGACAGGGGGAAGGGTGGACAGGACGTGATCCTGCCCGCGGTGACCGGGGCATCGAATGGTCAGTGCCCAGGACACTGCCCAGGTCCACTGGAAGTGACACGCATGTTATTTCATGAGTTGGGGGTGGGGATCAAATGCCTCGGCAGGAAGTGTGCCTTTCCAGTGTCTGATGGCACAGGGGTGTGGCTCCACAGCCAGTCCAGCATCTCTGCTCAGGCTGGCTGGGCAGGGGATGCCCCTCCCTGAGCCCCCTCTCTCCAGGCTGCTGACCCACCTGCAGAGCCTTGGGCCGCTGAGAGGCAGGGCTGGGATGGCTGGGAGATCCCACCCTTGTGTCTGGGTCTTCTACGGGCAGCTTTGGGACCCGGCTCCTCCTCAGGCATCCTGTGCCTTCCCCTCCTGACGTCTCCTACATTCCACTGTGCCCTGCTCCCTGCCCAGGGCTCAGCCACCCCTCTCCATCCCATGACCCCTTGGATCCCTGACTCCTTGCCCACCAGGACCCCAGCCCCTGGAAGCAGAGGGTCTCTCTGCAACCCCCGACTACAACTAGGGGGCAGCACTTCCACCCTCACACCCAGCTGTGACCTTGCCCTGCCTGCACCAGGGATTAAACCCCTTGGCTTCCCAGGTGGTCGGCCTGCTCAGCATCTCCTCCTTGCTCCGCCTGGGGTGCCAGGGGTCTCCCGTCCCATCCAGCGGCTGCCCCGTCTGCACAGCCACAACCAGCAGGCTGTGAGTACCCACCCCGGTGTGGGAGCTCGCCCAGCAGCAGCTCCACATAGTCTGTGGGGGGACTATGGGTTTGCACAGAGCCTACCCTGAGGCCTAGCATATGGGACAGAAACGGGGTTACCCACACCACGCCCTGCAGTTCCCGGACAAGCCCCTCGCACTGGCCGGCCGCCTTCACGGCAGAGTGGCTTTGCGATGTTCCGTTGGCTCCTGGCTTCTGTTGGCTGGCCCTGGTGCCCTTCCTTCCACTGACGGGGCGTCTGGTTCCAATCTTTACATCTGCTGGGCCCTTCTGACCTGTGTTCACTCCTCTCCTTGGGGCTCTGTCCTCCCACCCCGGCCAGCTGGCCACCAGGCGCCCCCATCACCAGCCTCTCAAAGTCCTCCATCTTGCAGGGCTCAGAGCTCAGTGCCGCCCTATGCCCTGCTCCCCTCCCGGCACTGCTGCCCCCCAACCCTGCCACCAGATCACAAACCTGGTCTTGCTCCTTCTTACGGCAGTAGTCCTTCCTGCGTCCCACTGTGTCTCTGCCCTGGACACCGGGTCTTAAATCCCACAGCCGCGTCCCAGCCTGCATCACGCCCAGCCTCCTTGTGCTTGGGGGAGAGTTTGGCAACTCGGCCAGGCTCGGCGCGAGGATGCTGTTATCACAGGGCATGTGGGCCCCGCAGTGACGCCACTGAGGCTGCTGCGAGGCCTGAAACCTACCAGGCAGGGCCCTGGACTGGCCCTGCAGGAGGGGCCAGCTTCCTGGGAGCCTTCTGGCTGGGAGTGGGGCTGGGAGGAGCTCTCCCACGAGTGGGCCCTGACTCCCCGCCACTTCGGCAACCCAGACATGCCGGGCAGCTAAGCCCACTTCTGCAAGGAAGATGCTTGCAGATTCTGTGCAGTCAAGGAGGGGAAGATGGGGGTGGGCTTCGTGCTGCCACGCACAGCGCCCGGGAGGCAGGACAGACACCCAGCAGCACTGCTCCTACACTCTCTGGTTCTTGAATCAAATTTAAGTTTGGGCTCGCGCTCTCTGCCTTCGCTCCCTCTCTCTCCTCTTCTCTTGCCTCCTCTCCCTCCTTTCCGTTTGTCTCAAGTAAACAAGGAAAGCAATTTGAAGCAGCCCGTTTCAAGGCTATAACGGTGCAAGGACATGGAACAGGGCTTCCTGACACAGGCCACCGGGCAGCCTCTCCCCTCGCTGTTGCCTCCTCCAGGAAGCCCAGCTGGAAGAGCTCCTGGACTCCACCTTACAGGTGAGGACGTGGAGGCCCAAGGCAGGGGTGGGCTGGAGGGGGGGCAGTTGCAGCAAAGCAGGCCCGTGGACCACTGCAGTAACAGCAAATGACCAAGAGCCTGGGGCGGAGGTGGGGTCAGGGTGGGGTGGGGTCAGGGTGTGTGGCTGGGCCAGCCACTGCGTTCTGGACTTTGGCTTCTGAAACAACAACATGTGATGAGCCGAGACCAGGGGCCTGAAACAGGAGGTCCAGGGCAGACCTACAGGCCGACTCATGGGTTTATTCAGTCCCCTGGGGGCAGCCTGGGAGTGAGCTTTCCCATTTGCCAGCTGGACAGACTGAGGCACTGGAGGACACCAGCCAATCAGCAGGAAGGGCCTAGGGCTGTGCCTGTCACAGGGCCAGCTATC